CTACCTAATGACAACATGAAAGGGGTTACTTACCACTAGACAGAAGATTTTAAAGTAAAATGCTTTTCTTCCCTGTGGCTAAATGCTATCCAGGAAACTCTGGGAGTATTTACAATAGCCAAAGAAGATCCGGTGTTGCCTCTTTTGCTAGTTAAAACCAAATCTAGAATGTGTCTGCCTGTATGACTAAGACTTCTGAGAGCAGATCAAAAGTCATTAAATTGATGACAAGTTTCAAGCGTGGGAGTTACCCTACATTGATGAGTTGTAAGGTAAATTGGGCTTTCTGATTTGTAAGAGACAGGGATGAATTGGAAGGAAGAGTGTCAGAATTCTCAAGTAATGTAAATCTGATATTGCTATGAATTTCAGTTATGTTACTTATTGAATTCAAGTAAAAGGGAGGGAATTCATCCTTGAAAAAAAAAGTGCTTCTCAAGAAATGCAAGACAGCTATTCTTATTTGGATATCTTTACAAATTTCTTACTTGATGAAATATAGCAGTTTTGCAAACTTTGTATATTGGCATAGGCTGCTTTCTGTATCACAGATACATAATAAGATGAAAGAAAGTGATCAGAATAAAGATTAACTATTAAATTTTAAGAAAATATTGCATCAAATACTTTTCTGTGCTGTGACTAGTATATAAATGTGTCTATACCTATAGTGCACGCATTATACTCCCTTGCATTAATGCTTTTGACATCTTTTCTAATTTACATGATCCTTTAAAATATTTCTATAATCTGTTCTCCCTCCTTTGTTTTTTAATGCTGTGATGTGTGGTCTGTCTCTTAAATTTTGTATTTACCTCCATCGATTGATTTATCTGTTCCTACAATAATATTAAATTTTGTCAACAAAGGTTTGAAGTCTATCTTAATAACTAATATGAAAAGATAATCCAATTAATTCTTCTTTATTTTGTTTATTTATTTATTTGAGATGGAGTCTCACTCTGTCTTCCAGGCTGGAATGCAGTGGCACAATCTCGGCTCGCTGCAACCTCCACCTCCCGGTTTCAAGCGATTCTCATGCCTCAGCCTTCCCAGTAACTGGGATTACAGGCATGCACCACCACCATGCCCGGCTAAAAAGTATTTTTAGTAGAGACGGGGTTTCACCATATTGCGCAGGGTGGTCTCGAACTCCTGAGCTCAGGCAACCCACCCGCCTCGGCCTCCCAAAGTGCTAGGATTACAGGCGTGAGCCACTGCGCCCAGCCAATTCTTCTCTTAAAGGTTTACTTAGTTATTCATAAGCCACTTAAAATTTGTATTGGAATTAAAATAAACAATTAAGTTAGTTTAGGATTGATATCTTAACCTTAACATGTACCATTTAAAAGCATTACAAAACTCTCAATTTATTCAGAACTTCTACTATGTTCTTTATTAAAGTTTTAAAATTTTCTCCAAAAAGGATTTTTAATTTTTTTGTTGTTTTCCAGATACTGTATAGTTTTTTTTAACTGTTATAAGTGTTTCTTAAATCTTATATTCTAGTTGAGTATTTCCAGTAATACAAATGGCATTTTCGTAAGTTGATAGTGCATCTAGCAAAATTGTTTATTTTGGTGTGTTCTCCAGATAGATGATCATATCATTTGAAAACAATAACAATTTTACCTCTTCCCTTACAAAAGTTACAAATGTTACATATAAATAAATATATAAATTAATATATAACATATATTTATTACACATAATATATAATATATTATGCAATATATACATATTATATAATATATATTATGTGTAATATATATTATATATCATATATAATATATATTATGTGTAATATATATTATATATCATATATAATATATATTATGTGTAATAAATAATATATATTATATAATTATTTTAAATAAATAAATATTTATATTTATAGTGTAATATATATTATATATCATATATAATATATATTATGTGTAATAAATATATATTATATAATTATTTAAATAAATAAAATATTTATTTATAAATATAAATATAAACATAATATATTTATATAAATATAAATATATATTATATATTATATACTTTATACATTATATATAGTAATATATAATATACATTATATATTATGTGTAATACAGATATATTATATATTGCATTCATTATGTTACTTGTATATATTATATGCATATACATGTATAAGTATGTATTTTCTTTTCTTACAGCTTTGATTAGGATCTCTCCAGTACTTTGTTAAATAAAAGTATTAGTCATTCTTTTCTTGTTCCCAATATTAAATTAAATGCACCTAGAGTTTCTCCAATAACCATTATATTGGGTATAGATTTGCAGTATATGCTTCCTACCAAATTAATGATCTCTTCTATTTTTTCTTTTAAAATAAAAAAAAAAAAACTACATATAGGGATTGAATTTAATGACGTATTTTTGTCATATTACTTTGCTTTAATCTGTTAATGTGATGAATTTTACCAATGAATTTTCTAATTTTGAATTATTCTTGCAGTCCTCATATAACTTTACTTGGTCATGATATTTTTAACATTTTTGAAATTGGTGAGTTAATATTTTGTTAGGATTCTTGCAATTCATTTATGAAGTGGCCTTATGTATTATTTACTCTTATTCTTATGTCTTTTATGAGTCAATCAAGGAATTATATCCACTCCTCAGATTACATTTCAGGAATGAAACAGCATTGGGAGGACGCAGCCAAGCTAATTTGAATCATACAACAGTAGGGAGTAAGAAGGTGTGACTATAAGTGACTATAAGAGCACTGGAGAGTGCTATCACGCATGACCTTATTATCATCAGTCCTTCACACAGGATGGTTCTTTTTTTTTTCTTTTTCTTTTTTTGAGGCGGAGTCTCGCTAAGTCGCCCAGGCTGGAGTGCGGTGGCGCGATCTCGGCTCACTGCAAGCTCTGCGTCCCGGGTTCACACCATTCTTCTGCCTCAGCCCCCTGAGTAGCTGCGACTACAGGCGCCCGCCACCATTCCTGGATAATTTTTTTGTATTTTTAGTAGAGATACTCCTGGATAATTTTTTTGTATTTTTAGTAGAGATGGGGTTTCACCGTGTTGGCCAGGATGGTATCGATCTCCTGACCTCGTGATCCGTCCGACTCAGCCTCCCAAAGTCCTGGGATTACAGGCCTGAGCCACCGCGCCCGGGCCCCACATAGAATGGTTCTTACAGCTCCGTGATACTACTTTGCTGACACATCGCACTAGAGCAAGCGTTTTTCTGTTGTTGCAGAATTTTGCAAATAAAGAGGAATCAATGATTGTTTTGAGGCAAGAGTGGAAACTAACAGGCATTACTTTAGACTAACCACTGCTGTTGGATGCAGCACTCCCCTCCCCTTCACATTCACTATACACAACACACACACACACACACACACACACCCATATACACGTTCTAAAAGTCATGAGAGACTTTATTCTCCTCAGATTTTCTATCTTTTCAGTATTTTCTTGGAATCCCTGTTTCCCTCTTGCTTCTATAATTCTTTCAGAGTTAATTTTGGAGTGACAGTAAGAAACTTGCCTACTTTGATATTCTGTCTGAAATAGAAGCCAAAGGCTTGCTTTATAAACGAAACTTTTGTTTAATTCTTCTCTTATCAGCTAAGCAAATTTATCCTACTTCCCAATTTGCAAATCCTTATTTCTACAAAATGGACTGCTAAGACTAGATATGCCTATAGAATTTTTGTAGATATACGTTATCAGTCAATATGCAGTGATATCAGGTCATTTGAGACAATATATAACACTCCCTTTTCCAAGGGAGTGTTTCAAACATACCAGTGGTCCTAACATCAGTGTGAAGAAGGCACAGTATGGTACAGTTTAATTGTATTATATATATTTATGCTTCAGAAAGACACGATTTGCTCTGTTGTAGATCTGGAATTAGTAGCAAACCATCACTATTTGAAATCATAAATCTTTGAAATCTGGGGATTTGGTTTTTCTCTAATCACACTTGAGACAAATTATTAATTTCTTTGAAAAAGGAAAACCAGAACAGAACAGAAAACCATATAAAAGGTGGGATTCAGTGACTTACACAAAGTGCAAAATAACTCTTTCAAGGGAAATGAAGAGAAATCTAATGTTTATTTCCAAGAAATAGCAGAAAAAACTGTATAACTAATACGCTTAAAAATTGCTTCATGCAAGTGAATGACAGGAGAGGCAATTTTTAAAAAATTCTTTCTAGTACCTTCTATGTGACGCTACTAAATGGAATTGCAAACAAATCATTTTCCACTTGCACCTGCTATTTACAGTAGTCCCTGGGGAGGAGAGGTGCGGATGGAGTGAAATATTACAGCGACCCTCTGTCACCATTATTGGTCTTACCGCTGATGATATATCTTTACCATATTTACCTCATTCGAATTGTTTACTCCCTGAGCCCTGAATTGTGCTAGATTCTTCCCCATCTCTCTCCGTAAGGCATTAGAATGGATCACTGTAAAAGGAAATAAAATCTTATTCTCCTGTTTTGCACACATGAGAAAATTCAACCAGCTCCCACTCTGGGTACTTGAGTGACAAGCTCCCATAATGATATACCAGGACTCTGAGGGCAAGAACCAAGTCTTGTTCACTTGATCATGTGCACCAATATTGCAACATGTTATCCTGAATAGAGTGTACAGAATTTGATAAATGTCTCCTAAAGGAAAGAAGAATACCTAATTGTCTTTGACTTACAAATGAAAATAAGGATCTGTTTTTCCTCTTTTGCTCTCAAATTCTGAAGGAGGCCCACTAGAGGGCCCACCCCTAAATACAGCACACTAAGAGTTAGAGCATCCACATATTAATTTAGAGGTGGAAGCCGGGCCGGATTAAGTTATTTTTGAGTGAGTTTCAAGGTCTGTAACACTAGTAGCTTGAAATGTTCTGGAGTTCCAGATCTGCATTCTAGCACTATCATTTTTCATGGATTCCTTTTTTTTTTCTTTTTTTTTCTTTTTTTTTCAGGCTTCAAGTGTATTTATTGATGCATTGGACAAAGTAAAACCACAATTGTTATCAAAAAGTATATCTCTCTTTCTCTCATTTTCTTGTACTTGCATTGGAAATATCTTTGAAAAAGTGATACAAATGGATACCAGTGAAGTCCCACATTTGTGGGGTGATTGTGCAGCAGTGCTGGGATGGGATGGTTTGTGACATTGACTTTAATAGCATGAAAATGGGTTTTGCAATTGTGTATCAGGCTGCATCCCAATACTTAGATTCACAGTGGGTGGGGTGCGAGAGTGCTGGTTAGCAGAAAGGAAAGCTGAATTTAGTGCTGGGGACCAATTTGGGGTGGAAAGTTCTTCCTTTGGGAGTTCTGTGGGGATTTGGTGTTAGCTGAGTTCATAGTCTAAGGGTGACCCACTCCCAGCCCTCAAGAGCTGAGGTTCAGGAGGAATCAGTGAATAACTAAGAAGGAAGAGCTTTTGTAGGATGAGTCACTACTTCTATTAACACTCGGTCCAAAACAGAAGGCTAAGGATCTACCATGTATTATTTGTTCTGCTTTCTTATTTTTAAACTTAACATTGAAGCATACGCTTTTTCTCTGAGGTTACAAAACCACCATAAATATAGAGTGGTTTTTATGTCTAATATACTGCCATAAGAGGATGTACTCTCATTTACCTAGACATTATAGCTCCTTATTACTAAGCATGTAATTAATTTACAATGTTTTACCTCTTATAAATGATAACATGATAAAAATTTTATACTTAAAACTTTTCCAATATTGTTTATAATTTCAGTAGGATTCCAAGAAGTTGAATTAGTGAGACAAAGAATGTGAACATATTAAGGATATTAATACAGATAGGGTTAGTAATCCCTTAAAAGTGATAATCAAATTATTACCTTTTTGGTTTAAGTTCCAGAGGAAAAAATGTTGCCTTTTTAAATCTGAGGCATGGTACTAAAGATAAAGTTTTGAGAGGAAAGGAGTTAGGATGGTGGCTGCACAGGTCAAGTTGAAGAGAGTAGTTTAAAAGTATGCATGAAAAGCATACACTTAGAGGACTTTCTAGGGTTCGAAGAACGGCAAGTATATGAGCCAGATCCCTGATGGAAAAGAACTGGCACAGGCTAACTTGTAATTTGAAGAGATGTTAATAAGAGTATATTTATAAAAGTGTAGACAGCACTTAAGGAAATCAGCAAGGGCTAATGCAGTAGTATCCCAGTAATAATCACAGCTGGAAGCTACTGAATTATCATTGTGAAGAATCCACTCCTAGAACCTAAAGAGAGCAGTTACACAGAGAAGACTGCAGAGCTGCAGAAGAAGGAGGTAGAAAGTCCTTGGCATTTACAGGCATGCTTCAAGTGCTTCAGTAGGGAATTTGGGTTTGTTCTTTATAGTCCCAGTTGGAGGCATACTTCGAAAGCTGAATCCACTGTCCTTCTGCTCACTCCATGTGACAAGTCTTCTGCTACATTAGTAATGAATTTGGGATAATGGAAGTCATTACATTTCTCCCACCCTCATGTTACTCAGTAGTTCATGTACTAATCATTTTAATGCAGATCCCTGTTCCACCGGTTTTGTTTTCCCAGCAATGACATTATTCCCAGTGCTGTTGTTCCTGGTTGCTGGGCTGCTTCCATCCTTCCCAGCAAATGAAGATAAGGTATGGTTAAAGTCAAAAATCTTCAGAAATATTCAGGCAACCATGAGGGATAGCAAGCTACTAGATCAATCTTCAAAAGTGAAAAGGACTAGAGTGTCTGGTACATCATAAAGTACTCATTAGTAGCTCAAGATAGTTAAAGTAATTATGTTTAAAGCTGTGGTGATCGATATGGTAGCCCCTAGCCACATGAGGGTATTGAAGTTCATTAATTAAATGACTTTGCTCCACCCCACAAATTGCCTTGGAGATTTTTTTTAATGTGGTAAAACTATCTTTTGAGTGATCCCATAAAATTTGCTACATAATACATAAAACTCTTTTACTAGAGTATTGCATGTTACACATGCACTTAGACTGAGCCTAAGCATTTTTTCTAAATACCAGACACCATTTCAGGCAGAAATTCCCCCTAAAGTCTTAGGGTAAATCATATAGCCCAATCCTTACCATTTCTTTGCTGCAGCCTGAGTGTGAATGTCTTAATAATTCCTATCATGTACCCTTGTCACTATAAGATGTTGTCACTCATATATCTAGAAAAATCACATTAAGACCTCTCTTAACCCAGAAATTGGTGTTTGTGGCCTCAGAGGAGATTTTAGTTTGTCATGCCATGAATTATATCCCCAATCTGAAAACTTTCATATAATACTTTTCCATTAAAAAGTCATAGCTTTGGCCATCATTGACAATGTTTACCTAGTATTGGCTCAAACACTTTTTTTGAATGGTTCTTGTTCCCTCAAGCTAACATAGTTACTACTATGTGCAATTTCCAACAATGTTAAAAAATAATTGTAATTTTATTTTCCCTTAGGATCCCGCTTTTACTGCTTTGTTAACCACCCAAACACAAGTGCAAAGGGAGATTGTAAATAAACACAATGAACTGAGGAGAGCAGTCTCTCCACCTGCCAGCAACATGCTAAAGATGGTAAGAGGTGGTATATTGCAAAGGAGAGGGGTGTGAACAAGCTGTGGAAGGAGCAGGCTGCTGGCAACGAAAATCTCTTAATAACTTCAAGGTTTACAAAGTTCTGTCTCTATTTTGTTATTTCATTTGAGCTGTGTAATGGGCAGAACTGAATTTCTTAACTTCTCTTTATAATGGTTGCATAACGTCAAATTCATAGGGCTATTTAAATTATGGAAGCAGAATCAAAACCAAATCTTTAGACATACAGTGAAAAGCCATTATGCTTTTCTGCTCCTTATCTTATCTGTCCTAATCTAAGATCAGAAAGACCTTTTTCCTTTAAGATAAATGCCGTTTAGGGTAAATAACAATCTACTTTTCTGGGCCCTGTACCAAAGGCCACATGTCTCCCAAACATATTCAGTGAGGGGGCGGCGGGGGGGAGGGGGGAAAAGAACTAGAAGTGAAGTAAACCAGCGAATTACTTCATTGTCAGCAAAAGCAATCTCAACACCTCCACATGTTTATCAATATTTAGAGTAGGATCATTACTAAAAATCTTTAGGTTTCTGCTGTCCTGCCATAAATAATTAGGCCATTAACCTAGATTTTTTTTGATTACTTAGAGTAGGCATATTACCTATATTTCTTTGTGGAGCAGAAAAAGGCACATCAAAAAAATATATATTTGATTACTATAAAAATCAGAAGATGCTTGCACAGAAATTTTATGATGATGTAAATCAACCTATAACCTGATTATAAGGCTTATGCTCCTGTGAGGTTTGAGATATTAAGTGGATATCTTTTTTCTGTCCTTGTTTCAGGAGTGGAACAAAGAGGCTGCAGCAAATGCCCAAAAGTGGGCAAAGCAGTGCAATTACAGACACAGTAACCCAAAGGATCGAAAGACTAGTATGTAAATTAGGAAATATTTGTTGAATAAAGCAACAAGTAAAATAATAAGAAATCATGTTATAATGTTGCATTAAGAAAAGTTTGTAAATAAATATTGCTTCTAATGCTACCTTTTTCAAGAGAGAATATCTCTATATGTAGAGATAACTCTGAGAAGCACCATCTGTGCTTATGGTTTTACGTAAATTTTACAAAAACTGTCTCAGGCAGTATCACATTTGTACCCCTCAGTCAGCTCATGAGTAAAGCAGGTTACAGATCATCTCTTTCCCAATTACAGAGATTAGAAAACCAACAGTCTGGAAGAAAATGATGATTGGTGATTAATGTCATATATAGGAAATCTGGAATTAGAATTTCTGGCTTCTAAATCAGTACCCCTTTCAGTGACAATATAGAGCCTATTTGTGTTTTGAAACCTACTTAATTTTGTTTTTATAAAATATTTTAAATTTTGTCAAACTGTTCCTGAATTTTACAAAAAAAAAATATTTAACATCAGCATTAGCTTTTACTATTTTCTTTTGAATTTTTGATGATGGTAAGCCATGTCTTTCGTATTTCCTGGATGTTTACAATGCATACTATACTAGACTAAATAAAAATGACCTGCAAGACATAACCTATGCATCAATAAATATAAAAACAACTAGATAAAATATCATATGGATGAGCTATCAGATAAAATACTTATTGAATTATCAAAAATAACATAGGTAAAGGCAAGCCAAATTTACAAGTGGTAAATAACTGGCTTGTTTTGAAAATAGGACTGCCATTGTTGTCTATATTTTTGATATTAAAACTATAATAAATTTATGAAAGGAGGTAACTATGGTCACCAGAAGATTGAAAGAAATGGTCTTGAAAATCCCAATCTATTGTTAAAATCTTAGCTGCTTTCTTTCCCTCTTAAAGGAACTATACAAAGGTAGTTTATACTCTCTTTAAGTAGCATGTAGACATCCCATGTTAAGCCATCCAAATATAAATATTAATTTCAGGGCTTGAAAAAGCATTGAAGTATTTCTGGGCTGCAAGGCACTTTTTTCCTTATTTTTTGAGCAAAGTGTGGCCTGTGATGTTCTGATTTGCTAAGAGGAGGCCTGTAACCTGTGAAAATATTGTCTTTTATGGTGTCATTTTCTTCATGTTTAGGGCTCTTAAAGACTGAACATAAGACTTTTTAAAAAAAATTCACACAAAATAATAATTCTAACCACTTATTCAGATTCCTATATATGAAAATCTCTGGTGAATACGGACTAGAGCAGGAGAGGAATTACTAAATTGATGTCTGCCTTCAGCAAGTTCACATTACAAAGCTGAAAGCTCATAAGGCACACCCATGTGAAGAATTCAATGTGTAAATAAATGAATCCAGGGAGAGCAGATATTAAAGAAAAAAGGCTTCTCCATCTACTCAAAGTTTTGCATGTTGAGACCAACCTCAAGTATTGGGCAAATCTGGCTTCTATTCAACTTATAGCTGATAAGGATCTGAGGCACCCTCCTTATGTATTAGTCGACATTCATTAATGATGGGCATTGAGGACAGTATTTAAAAAACAGGGATTCTGCTGTGTGTAGGGGAGTGGGTGTGTGTGTGTGTTTGTGTTTTTGCCATTGCATGCTTTATTGCTTTCCTCATGAGTGGTCTGTTCCTTCTTAGGTCTAAAATGTGGTGAGAATCTCTACATGTCAAGTGCCCCCAATTCATGGTCACAAGCAATCCAAAGCTGGTTTGATGAATACAAGGATTTTGACTTTGGTGTAGGGCCAAAGACTCCCAGTGCAGTGGTTGGACATTATACACAGGTAAAGAGAAAAAATGAAAAACCACCTCCTTTACAAGTGCCCTAAAAAAAGGATTCTTCAAATTTTGACTGATTCCAAGTTGAATTTGGGGGAAATTTTCAAGTGAATATAGAATAGTCTGGCATTTGGTGAGTATTTCAGCTGTGAGCTGTCGTTTTTCAATAGTCTGCAGGATCATGGTAGGGAAATAATCTTTGTCTAACAGTCTCAAAAAGGAATGTACATGGAAATGTAATATTTTAAAAGTCTTTTAGTTTGATTCAATAATTTAACTAAATAATAGCCATAAGGTATAGGCAAAATATGTCGGTAACATTCTTCTCCATTTTGTATCTCCTACTATTTGTTTTTCGGTATTTCCTTCTTCTCTAATGTGCTCTCGTATGTTCACTTATGGGTTTATAGGTTGTTTGGTACTCTTCCTACCTCGTTGGATGTGGAATTGCCTACTGTCCCAATCAAGCAGTTCTCAAATACTACTATGTTTGCCAATATTGTCCTACGTAAGTATATATTTTAGAGTTTATTGTCAATAATGCTAAATACGATTTAATATTTAATATAAAAACAAACCAAAAAGCATATTTCAGTAAAGGTGAAGGAGATTAATCTTTAGAAATATTTTCTAAAGTTGAGACACATTCAATCTACTTCACAGAAAGATAAAGTTTTCAGTTCTAGTTCCAAGTGTTATTGAACAGGGAGCTGTCTTTCCTCATGCCTAAAATAATTTGTCTCCTCTCTCAGTTGCCTTTTCCTATACTCATGGTTACTTCATGAGTACAGGTAGTGTGTAGTTGTCTAAATATAATTTTATCAGTTCATGCTAAGTTTACGTATGAGAAACTGAAAGCTTGACAATTAGTCCAGGGATAAAGTAAGGTGACAAACAAATGAGTAAAGACCCATTTTAGTAATATCAGTCCTTTCTGCTCAAATGCTCTTACTCAGGTTTATCAGAAAATTTCACATTATACATTAAGAAATGATTAAATCTTGGACCTCAAAGACTTTTCAAGAGATCCCCAATATGTTTCAAATAGCCAAGAAAAGATAATATCTTAAATTTTTGCTTCTTGGAATTTACCACAAAAACATTTCATGGAACCATCCGTTAAGATCATAATTTCTTAATTATCTTGGGTTTCCTGAAGAAAGTCCACTTTTTTTTCTCAAGCAATATATTTCACTTACTCACACAGAAAAAATCTGTGGATATATTGAAGATGTATTCACAACATATCTATTAGCTTTAATTTGCTTTTAATATTTGAAATTGTTCACCACTAGTGGGAGGGGCTTTCCCCAAACTCAGCTTTCTGCATGACTTATTTTGAGGCTGTAGATATGCCAGCTGATGTAGGATTCCAGTTTGAGAAATATGACCTGTAAAGTCATTTTTCAGCAAAGAATTATCACTGTTAATGCAGAAAATTGAAAGACCCTGAGAGACTGCCCCCAAATGCCTGGTCATGAGAGGAGAGCATCTTGAGTCTGCATCTGAGTGAGAGTTGGAAGTAGTAATGAGAGAAAGCAGGAAAAAGAGAGCTTCCAGAACACTTTGATGTCTATTTCACATTTTTTTAAGTGCTCACACACCTACAGTTATATTCTATGAAGGAAGGCTGAGATTCAGCTACATTGACTTGGACTGTTAACCTACTTAGTGCAATTAAGACTTTGGCTTTCTTGTATTTTCAGATGATAATTACCGATAGGAAAATAATCATCATTGAGGTACAGGCTAGTCACTGTAAGATGAACACACAGAGGAGATTAATATTAATTAAATCTTTTTTTCCCCTAACATTCCCATTCTTGGCAAACATAAACATCTCATACACACCACCTTTAGACATTCCCAAACCTTCCCGAGCACAATACCCTTTCACAAACATACAGCAAAAACCATGTGAAAATCACCACCCCACCTAAAAGCCAAAATTTATGCTGAAACTGTACTTACCCTTCTTCGTATTATAGAAATTATGGTATTTTTTATTTTTAATTATAAGCTACATTTAACATTAAATGTTATTTTTCATATTGCAACCTTCTGTGCTTCAGGAACTTTTCTTATCTCCCTGGGGGATATGTTTTAACCCTTGCCAGAACCTTGTAGTACATCATCTTAGCAATTTGACCAAGTCTATTGGGAGATGAAGTGTGTTGCCATATCAAAATACGCTCTAAAACCTTTAGACTTTAATTATCCTGTTTCAGTTTCTCAGGTTGCGAGACTATGGTCAGGAAAGTGAATGAATGTGTGAATTATTCTCTTAATTTGCATTATTGTCTGAATATCCTCTGAGAATATTATATTTTTAATTATTTGACATAATTAAAAACATTTAATAAATACCCAGTATATTTGGTGACTGATACTAACCTTGGAACATAAACTAAACAGAAAAATGAAAAATATTTGACATTTTTTATTTCAAATTTCAGTGGTAATTGGGTTAACAGACTATATGTCCCTTATGAACAAGGAGCACCTTGCGCCAGTTGCCCAAATAACTGTGACGATGGACTATGCAGTAAGTTTGAAGTGATTAACTTGATAATAAAATAAAATGATCTGACATTTCTTCTAAGAATTGGGAACTCTGAAGACAACCAACTTAAGCAATGCTTTCAAGCAAAGGACAAAAAAAAAAAATCTGTCTGGCTCTGTCACCCAGGCTGGAGTGCAGTTGCGCCATCTCAACTCCCTGCAACCTCCGCTTGCAGGGATCAAGTGATTCTAATGCCTCAGCCTCCTGAGTAGGTGGGACTACAGGCACGTGCCAGCACACCTGGCTAATTTTGTACTTTTTGTGGAGACAGGATTTTGCCATGTTGGCCACACTGGTCTCGAACTTCTGGCCATCAAGCGATCTGCCCACCTCAGCCACCCAAAGTACTGGGATTACAGGTGTGAGCCATCACACCCAGCCTTACGGAGTGTTTTTAAGTGAACATTTTACACTGCTCAGTATCTATGTATTATTTGCAATGTAAAATTTAACCTGTTATCATATGTAACCTGATGAAACATTTACCATCCATTTTATATATTGGCATATATGAAAATGTGTCTGTGAAAATGACATATTATAATTAAATATGAAGTTTCTCCTCATAAAACTTTGTATCATTATACAAAATACAGCATATTTTTAAAAAGAAAAACAAATATACATCTAAGAGTATGAGACCATAGAATATGGCTCAATCCAGACAGGGACTCCAAATACTGCAATTTCTCATATGCTAACGAATTTATCATACTAACTTTCTCATATTTGCCATAGTGTAGTTAGAGTCATCAAGTTTAATATAATAATCACCTGCACTTCTGCTTGCTAATAATTTTTATATGCATTTTTAAAGTCAAAATCAAATCTGTATGTAGTATTAACTCACAGAAGCCTCAAAAATATTTTAGCAAAAAGAAGTAAAATAAATATATATCTCATACAATTTCATTTTATGCTTTTATAAATAAAAATACAAAGAGTTGATATGTTTGTTTAACTAGGATGTATTACTAAAATTATTACTGACAATGCAGTCGACCCATTCATTGAGAATTTTACCTTTCAAATGCATTCACCTGACTGAATTGTAACATTTTTTTCTGACTGAATTGTATAGCTATAATTCAGAATATTGATAATACCAAAGCTATAAATCAACTAAAGAAGGAAAATCCAAATATTTCCAGCACTGCCAAATGCTGTTTTCTAAGAAGCTTGAAATTTATCTTATTAGTAATGATCAGCCAACTGAAAAATTTTAAACAGAAGAATGATAAGATCTGAACTGTGTTTTCTAAGGAGCTCCCAACAGTAGTAGGAAGAAGCAATTGGATAAAAATCAGCTAGGACACTGTTGGAAAAACACACACTCAAAAACAAATGAGTATCTTTACTGCATTAGTGGAAAATGAATGAAAAAAATAGACAGGTATGAAAAATAGGAAGAAAGTAGAATAGTCAGTTGTTGTTACCTGGTATTGTTGAATATTGATTACAAAAAAAAATAGAAACAAGTTTCAGTTGATTTCCTGGCTCCTGGCTTGAATTGTTTAATAGTTGGGAGTGCCATTTCTCTGAAACTGGGTGAACCAAATGAAGAATTGTTGGGAAATAACAAAGAAATGTCAAGCTTGTAGACAGGATGATGAATTTAGTTTGAGATTTGTTGAGTTTGTGGCCACTGAAGGACATTCAAGTAGAAATGTCCAATAATCATAATGACATTCTCTCCACCTTTTACATTATACATTGACATCTTCCTATAATAATTACTTAGACCTGAGAGAAAGACTGGTGGCACTAGAGTCTGGAACTGTGTTCAATGACTTTCTACAATGATGAAGATGTTCAATATTCTCACTTTCCTATAAAGTCGCCCTTAGACACATGGCTACTGAGCACCTGATATAACTGGTGTTGTTGAGGAAAGACCTGAAATTTTAATTTTATTTAATTTTGATTAATTTAAGTTTAAACAACCACATGACAAGTATCTACCACTTTGGATATCGCAGTTCTAGAGAAATCCATTTAAATTAATTTTACTCTGCTCACTCGTTGAGTGAGGAAAATATGTCAGTTCATCTTAGAAACATTTCCAAAAGCTTGAATTTAAAAATGAATCTGTGTGTTTACCTAAGAGACCTTGTGTGTCCCTCAAGATATAGAATGGCCACCTTAGTGTAACAATGCCAGTTTGTTTGCTCACTTCCCTACTCTCCGTTCATATAGAATGTATTGTATGTGTTGTTGTTATGGAAGAAAATGATAATGAAGTGACCGGTTTCTTTGTTTTTATTCCAGCCAATGGTTGCAAGTATGAAGATCTCTATAGTAACTGTGAAAATTTGAAGCGCACATATTCCTGTCAATATCCGTTTGTCAGGGACAGTTGCAAGGCCTCCTGCAATTGTTCAAACAGCATTTATTAAATTCACATTACACACCGAGTAGTGTTATGTAGAGAGGAGTCAGATTATCTACTTAGATTCGACATCTACTTAGATTTAGCATATACTAGCTGAGAAATTGTAGGCATGTTTGATACACATTTGATTCCAAATCTTTTTCTTCTGGATCTGCTTTTTATTTTACAAAAATCTTTTTCATACAAATGGTTTAAAAGTAACAAAATCTATAACAACAACTTTGGATTTTTATATATAAACTTTGTGATTTAAATTTACTGAATTTAATTAGGGTGAAAATTTTGAAAGTGGTATTCTCACATGACTAAGTTCAGTAAAACCCTGGATTGAAAGTGAGAATTATGTTCCTAGAACAAAATGTACAAAAAGAATAATATAATTTTCACATGAGTCCTTGGCTGTAGTTGCCTTTCCTAGCTCCACTCTAAGGCTAAGCATCTTCAAAGACGTGCTCCCATATGCTGTCTTAATTCCTTTCACTCATTCACCCTTCTTTAGAATCATCTGACTGGCATCCTCACAACTGAGTTGAAGCTGTTCCTCCTAAAACAACCCTGACTTTTATTTTGCCAAAATCAGTATAATCCTTTGTTTATCTGCATAAATTTTACAGTAGAATATGATCACACCTTCATTTTTAAACCCCTCTTCTCTTTGACAAACTTTCCTTAAAAAAGAATCCAAGATAATACAGGTAAATACCCTCCACTCAAGGAGGTAGCACTCAGTCCCCCACCTTGTGAGTCTTCACTAAAATTAGTGACTCATTTCCAAAGAGTGGAATATGGAAAGGGAAACATAGTAACTTTACAGGGGAGAAAAATGACAAATGCCTTCTTCACCAAGTGATCAACATTAACGTCACCAGTGATAAGTCATGTGGATTTGTTCTATGTAATCTTTCTAAAAATTCGTAATCCCAATCTAATTATGAGCTAAAACATACAGCAAATTGAAGCTGAAGGACATTCTGCAAAATATCCCTGGGGTATTTTAGAGTATTCCTCAAAACTGTAAAAATCATGGAAAATAAGAAAATCCTGAGAAACAATCACAGACCACATGAGACTAAGGAGACATGAGAGCCAAATGCAGTGTGCTTTCTTGGATCAGATCCTGGAAAAGAAAAAGATCAGTAATGAAAAGCTGATGAAGTCTGAATAGAATCTGGAGTATTTTTAACAGTAGTGTTGATTTCTTAATCTTGATAAATATAGCAGGGTAATGTAAGATGATAACATTAGAGAAACTGAAACTGGGTGAGGGCTATCTGGGAATTCTCTGTACTATCTTACCAAATTTTCAGTAAATCTAAGAAAACAATGAAAAATAAAAAGTATTTTGAAAATAAATACAAGAATTTTTTTCTTGACTCTATGACACATCATAGCTTTTCTTCAGATTATCTACTTATTCTTTCCTAGAATTTTACTCTTAACCTTCAGTTCCTTTATCCCAGTGCTATATATTTGATTTTGTCCTTTCAGGTAATATCAATGATTAGGTTGTCATATCAGATGGACTTGTTTACTCAGTATCAAACTTCAGTAAAAATTTCAAGGATCTAAGTAGTCATGACGCAAAGGAAAACAGGAAGGTGCAGGACCACCAAGGCAGCCCCTAGATGATATTTTTGGCTGCATCTCTTAATCTCTTAAGCAATAAATTTCCTAATTAATCTCCATTCAAAACCTTTCAATAGGCTTCAGAAGTAATTAGTATAATATTCATGATCTTAAACTGATCTGCAAGAAGCTGAATAATCTTTTTTATATTTGCCTCTCCGATCTCACTTCATTCCACCCTCCCTCATTTCCTCTGCTCCAGTCGGATGAGCCCATTACATTACCTCAAATTCCTCAAGATCATTTTTACCTTATGGTGTTTGTGTTTGCTATTGCTCTGTTCGGAAGAATGATCACTGTATTATTTGCTAGAATTGCTACTTCACATTAAACATCATTTCATCAACAGATTATTTTGAGCATATAATCTAGAGAAACTCCCACCATTTTCTCTCAGAGCTCCCTATATTTCTCCCCCTTTTTTTTTCAAAGCCAAAAGCTATATTTGTGATATTATCTTCTCCTTGTTGTTCTTTTTCATTATACTTTAAGTTCTAGGGTACATGTGCACAATGTGCAGGCTTGTTACGTATGTATACGTGTGCCATGTTGGTGTGCTACACCCATTAACTCATCATTTACATTAAGTATATCTCCTAATGCTATCCCTCCCCCCTCCTCCCACCCCATAACAGGTCCCAATGTGTGATGTTCCTTTTCCTGTGTCCAAGTGTTCTCATTATTCAATTCCCACCTGTGAGTGAGAACATGCGGTGTTTGTTTTTTTGTCCTTGCGATAGTTTGCTGAGGATGATGGTTTCCACCTTCATCCATGTCCCTACAAAGGACATGAACTCATCCTTTTTTATGGCTGCACAGTATTCCATGGTGTATATGTGCCACATTTTCTTAATCCAGTCTATCATTGATGGACATTTGGGTTGGTTCCAAGTCTTTGCTATTGTGAATAGTGCTGCAATAAACATATGTGTGCATGTGTCCTTATAGCAGCATTATTTATAATCTTTTGGGTATATGCCCAGTAATGGGATGGCTGGGTCAAATGGTATTTCCAGTTCTAGATCCTTGAGGAATTGCCACACAGTTTTCCACAATGGTTGAACTAGTTTACAGTCCCACCAAGAGTGTAAAAGTGTTTCTATTTCTCCACATCCTCTCCAGCACCTGTTGTTTCCTGACTTTTTAATGATCGCCATTCTAACTGGCATAAGAGGGTATCTCACTGTGGTTTTGATTTGCATTTCTCTGATGGCCAGTGATGATGAGCACTTTTTCATGTGTCTGTTGGCTGCATAAATGTCTTCCTTTGAGGAATGTCTATTCATATCCTTCGCCCACTTTTTGATGGGTTCGTTTGATTTTTTCTTGTAAATTTGTTAGAGTTTTTTGTAGATTCTGGATATTAGCCTTTTGTCAGAAGAGTAGATTGCAAAAATTTTCTCCCATTCTGTATGTTGCCTGTTCATTCTGATAGTAGTTTCTTTTGCTGTGCAGAAACTCTTTAGTTTAATTAGATCCCATTTGTCAATTTTGGCTTTTGCTGCCATTGCTTTTGGTGTTTTAGACATGAAGTCATTGTCAATGACTATGTCCTGAATGGTATTCCCTAGGTTTTCTTCTAGGGTTTTTATGATATTAGGTCTACCATTTAAGTCTTTAGTCCATCTTGAATTAATTTTTGTATAAAGTGTAAGGAAGGGATCCAGTTTCAGCTTTCTACTTATGGCTAGCCAATTTTCCCAGCACCATTTATTAAATAGGGAATCGTTTCCCTGTTTCTTGTTTTTGTCCAGTTTGTCAAAGATCAGATGGTTGTAGATGTGTGGTATTATTTCTGAGGGCTCTGATCTGTTCCATTGGTCTGTATCTCTGTTTTGGTACCAGTACCATTCTGTTTTGATTACTATAGCCTTGTAGTATAATTTGAAGTCAGATAGCATGATGCTTCCAGCTTTGTTCTTTTGGCTTAGGATTGTCTTGGCAATGCAGGCTCCTTTTTGGTTCCATATGAACTTTAAAGTAGTTTTTTCCAATTCTGTGAAGAAAGTCATTGGTAGCTTGATGAGGACGACATTGAATCTATAAATTACCTTGGGCAGTATGACCATTTTCACAATGTTGATTCTTCCTATCCATGAGCATGGAACGTTCATCCATTTGTTTGTGTCCTCTTTTATTTCATTGAGCAGTGGTTTGTAGTTCTCCTTGAAGAGGTCATTCACATCTTTTGTAAGTTGGATTCCTAGGTATTTTATTCTCTTTGAAACAATTGTAAATGGGAGTTCACTCATTATTTGGGTCTCTACTTGTCTGTTATTGGTGTATAGGAATGCTTGTGATTTTCGCACATTAATTTTGTATCCTGAGACTTTACTGAAGTTGCTTATCAGCTTAAGGAGATTTTGGGCTGAGACGATGGGATTTTCTAAATATACAATCATGTCATCTGCAAACAGGGACAATTTGACTTCCTCTTCTCCAAATTGAATACTCTTTATTTCTTTCTCCTGCCTGATTGCCCTGGCCAGAACTTCCAACACTATGTTGAATAGGAGTGGTGAGAGAGGGCATCCCCGTCTTTTGCCAGTTCTCAAAGGGAATGCTTCCAGTTTTTGCCCATTCAGTATGATATTGGTTGCGTGTTTGTCATAAATAGCTCTTATTATTTTGAGATATGTTTCATCGGTACCTAATTTATTGAGAGTTTTTAGCATGAAGCGCTGTTGAATTTTGTCAATGGCCTTTTCTGCATCTATTGAGATAATCATGTGGTTTTTGTCTTTGCTTCTGTTTATATGCTGGATTACGTTTATTGATTTGGGTATGTTGAACCAGCCTTGCATCCCAGGGATGAAGCCCACTTGATCATGGTGGATAAGCTTTTTGATGTGCTGCTGGATTTGGTTTGCCAGTGTTTTATTGAGGATTTTTGCATTGATATTCATCAGGGATATCGGTCTACAATTCTCTTTTTTTGTTGTATCTCTGCCAGACTTTGCTATCAGGATGATGCTGGCCTCATAAAATGAGTTAGAGATGATTCTCTCTTTTTCTATTGATTGGAATAGTTTCAGAAGGAATGGTACCAGCTCCTCTTTGTACCTCTGGTAGAATTCAGCTATGAATCCATCTGGTCCTGGATTTTTTTTGGTTGATAGGCTATTAATTATTGCCTCAATTTCAGAGTCTGTTATTGATCTATTCAGGAATTCAACTTCTTCCTGGTTTAGTCTTGGGAGGGTGTGTGTGTCCAGGGATTTATCCATTTCTTCTAGATTTTCTAGTTTATTTGCATAGAGGTGTTTATAGTATTTTCTGATGGTAGTTTGTGTTTCTGTGGGATCAGTGGTGATATCCCCTTTATCATTTTTTATTGCATCTATTTGATTCTTCTCTCTTTTCTTCTTTATTAGTCTTGCTAGTGGTCTATCAATTTTGTTGATCTTTTCAAACAACCAACTCCTGGATCCATCGATTTTTTGTAAGGTTTTTTGTGTCTCTATCTCCTTCAGTTCTGCTCTGATCTTAGTTATTTCTTGCCTTCTGCTAGCTTTTGAATGTGTTTGCTCTTGCTTCTCTAGTTCTTTTAATTGTGGTGTTAGGGTGTCAATTTTAGATTTTTCCTGTTTTCTCTTGTGGGCATTTATGCTGTAAATATCCCTTTACGCATTGCTTTAAATGTATCCCAGAGATTCTGGTATGTTATATCTTTGTTCTCATTGGTTTCAAAGAACATCTTTATTTCTGCCTTCATTTTATTATGTACCCAGTAGTCATTCAGGAGCAGGTTGTTCAGTTTCCATGTAGTTGAGCGGTTTTGGCTGAGTTTCTTAATCCTGAGTTCTAGTTTGATTGCACTGTGGTCTGGGAGAGTTTGTTATAATTTCTGTTCTTTTATATTTGCTGAGGAGTGCTTTACTTCCAACTATGTGGTCAATTTTGGAATAAGTGTGATGTGGTGCTGAGAAGAATGTATATTCTGTTGATTTGGGGTGGAGACTTTGTAGATGTCTATTAGGTCCGCTTGGTGCAGAGTTGAGTTCAATTCCTAGATATTCTTTTTAACTTTCTGTCTCGTTGATCTGTCTAATGTTAACAGCAGGGTGTTAAAGTCCCATTATTATTGTGTGGGAGTCTAAGTCTCTTTGTAGGTCTCTAAGGACTTGCTTTATGAATCTGGGTGCTCCTGTATTGGGTGCATATATAGTTAGGATAGTTAGCTCTTCTTGTTGAATTGATCCCTTAACCATTATGTAATGGCCTTCTTTATCTCTTTTTATCTTTGTTGTTTTAAATTCTGTTTTATCAGAGACTAGGATTGCAACCCCTACTTTTTTTTGTTTTCCCTTTGCTTGGTAGATCTTCCTCCATCCCTTTATTTTGAGCCTATGTGTGTCTCTGCATGTAAGATGGGTCTCCTGAACACAGCACACTGATGGGTCTTGACTCTTTATCCAATTTTCCAGTCTGCGTCTTTTAATTGGACCATTTAGCCTTTTACATTTAAGATTAATATTGTTATGTGTGAATTTGATCCTGTCATTATGATGTTAGCTGGTTATTTTGCTCGTTAGTTGATGCAGTTTCTTCCTAGCATCGATGGTCTTTACAATTTGGCATGTTTTTGCAGTGGCTGGTACCGGTTGTTCCTTTCCATGTTTAGTGCTTCCTTCAGGATCTCTTGTAGGGTAGGCCTGGTGGTGACAAAATCTCTCAGTATTTGCTTGTTTGTAAAGGATTATATTTCTCCTTCACTTGTGAAGCTTAGTTTGGCTGGATATGAAATTCTGGGTTGAAAATTCTTTTCTTTAAGAATGTCGAATATCAGACCCCACTCTCTTCTGGCTTCTAGAGTTTCTGCCAAGAGGTCCACTGTTAATCTGATGGGCTTCCCTTTGTGGGTAACCAGACCTTTCTCTCTGGCTGCCCTTAACTTTTTTTCCTTCATTTCAACTTTAGTGAATCTGACAACTATGTGTCTTGGAGTTACTCTTCTCAAGGAGTATCTTTGCTCTTCTCAAGGAGTATCTTGTGGCATTCTCTGTATTTCCTGAATTTGAATGTTGGCCTGCCTTGCTACGTTGGGGAAGTTCTCCTGGATAATATCTTGCAGAGTGGTTTCCAATTTGGTTCTATTCTCCCCATCACTTTCAGGTACTCTAATCAGACATAGATTTGGTCTTTTCACGTAGCCTCATATTTCTTGGAGGCTTTGTTTGTTTCTTTTTACTCTTTTTTTTTCCCCTAAACTTCTCTTCTTGCTTCATTTCATTCATTTGATCTTCAATCACTGATACCCTTCCTTCCAGTTGATTGAATCGGCTACTGAAGCTTTTGCATTTGTCACGTAGTTCTCGTGCCATGGTTTTCAGCTCCATCACATCATTTAAGGGCTTCTCTACGCTGGTTATTATAGTTATCCATTCATCTAATCTTTTTTCATGGTTTGTAGCTTCTTTGTGATGGGTTCGAAATTCCTCCTTTAGCTCAGAAAAGTTTGATCATCTAAAGCCTTCTTCTCTCAACTCGTCAAAGTCATTCTCCTTCCACCTTTGTTCCGTTGCTGGTGAGGA